CGCAGTGGCAAGTCTTTAGCTGGCAAGAATGTCCATCCTCTGTTTAAACGCTTCCGCAAGTGAATACACTCACGGCACGGCTGATGTATTTACAGCATCTGGAGAGACCAGGCCACTTCCTGGGACGCCCAGGCAGCATCATAATAAAAGACACTTCATGGCTGCTTGTCTCAGACAGACCAAATTAAAGACTGTGAGAAAGAAGCAAAACTGCTGTAATTTCAGAAAGATAAAAAAATCTAATATGTATAGTATTACAAACAGGATGTTTGTTATTATAAGGATGATTTCTTTTAATTTGTTGTGAGAAACTGAATGGAAACTGAAGGAAGAAATTTGTACAGTATGCAAAAGCCAAAACAGAGCCTGTTTGTGAAATTTACTGGTGAACTTTTAGCAAATAAAATGTACTTTACTATCTAATAAGATTCTATTAGTGCATTAGGTATCTTATTGTCAATGAACAGTATTTATTAATCTTGGTTAATTTTCATTTATTAAGATATTATTGTTAGTTCGTAATGCATTAATGTATACAATGAGTGAGGGTGGTGTGCATTATTTTTTTTAAATTCAACAGTCCAGAATCAATTACTACACTTATATTTTTTTAGGTTTTTGTTCATAAAAATGCTCTTGTGTGGAACTATTTTCTTATCAATTCCAAAGAAGTAGTAACGGACTAATTGGAGAGAGAGAGCGTTTGTGAATTACCGGAGTCTGTGCTGCTTTCCGCAGAGTTTGGCAGCAGCCACATCTCTTATAGCGAAGCTGTAAGTTTAACTGCTTAAAAAACAAAGTATTTCAGTAATCGTACTACTAGTTCACCCAAAAGTGGACATTCTGTCAACATTTACTCACCCTCAAGTTGTTCCAAACCTGTATGAGTTTCTTTCTTCTGTGAAACATAAAAGTGAAACATAAAAGAAGATACTTTTTAAAAATGTTGGTAACCAAGCAGTTGCTGGTCTCCATTGTCATGCGTAGTATGTAAAAGAATACTATTAAGGTCAATGGCGACCAGAAACTCATACAGGTTTGGAACAACTAAAGGGTGACTAAATGACACAATACTTTTTATTCTATTAGAATTTCATGTAATGTAAAATTTGTCCTAGCTGACTAGCAAGCCAATTAACCATGCTTGCATAACTTGAACTTTTAAGTATAAGTTTAACTAAATAGTGAGGTGGCTTTTTTCATGGTTCTTTTCATAACTTTTTTTTTTTTTAAAGAAAAATTTCACTTTGTCATTCAAAACCTGCATGACTTTCTTTTGTGCAATCACTGAGGCAATCTTCAAATTATCTTTTTTTTTTTCAACAATTTTTGGTGGATTATCCCTTTACCAAAAATCAAGATATAGGGTGGAAATAAAGTCTTTGTTGTTTATCTCACTGTACATCTAGGGAATGCAATGTTTTTTTCTACAATGAACTTGGTTGATCTCTTGTGCCTGTAAATGTAATCCTCTTCTCACAATGGTGCTGGAGGTAACCACTCCAGCCAACACAGGTATGTGTCCCCATGTCACTTCACGTGATTTGCTGAATCATATAATCCTAGTCTTTCACACTAGGAGAAATCTGGAATCCCCATTCTTCTTAATACCCGAGTTTGTAATCTTATTATGGATGGATATTAAAAGAACACGCCTCACATTCTTCAGTGTGCAAACTAATTAAAGCCAGTTTATGTTAATTAAACCTGTTGTTTTGGTGTTTTTACCACCAGCTGAGCTACAGGAACATGCAAATTATTAGTTTTAAATTGATGTTCTTGCCATATGATTCATCTCTTCATATATAAAATGCATATTAATCCCATCCTGCCAGTAGATGTTTTGTTTCCTGTGGCTTCCCCGCAAAACAAACGAGTTATTTGTTCAGCAGCTACCTCAACACATTCATTCTGTAACAGACACATGTTGTATAGACACATGGGTAGTTGATATATGTACCATGACAGTATCACATGCTATATTCATTTAAAATTAACAATATTACAATATTTCTTAGACAGCATTTTTAAGTATAAATTAAATGAGAGATGAAGTATTTGTACTAAAAATTAAGATGCCACCATATGTATGTTTATGTTTATACACTTATAAATACTTATATAGTCTTATGTGAGTATAGTTTTACTTTCTCTATACGTCTAAAAAAAACTGCCATAAAGGCATAAAAATGTTCATAATACAAAACCAACCTGCAAAAACAAAAGAGCTTTATTTCGACAGCAACTTTTAAGATTATGATTATAGTTTAATTCTGGGTGATCCAGTGATCATTTGAAGGAAATGTAATGTTGGTTCAAGCAATGACATCTGAATAGATATCATATATCTCAGTGTATGAGTCTCTTTTCACAATGATTTTCTCTGTAATTGTTTGTCTTTCGTCATTTCAGTAAATTCTTTCATTTGTGAGGCATGGTGATTTCTTGTCACTGCTGTCTACATGTCAAATTGTGAGGAACTATGCTGAGTGAACCAGTCCTTTGCTTCTGACAGTTTGCTTTTGGTTTGGACTGTCAGCTATGGGGCTGATTAACACTTACCATATTATGGAGGCTTTTTCTCTTTTCTTCAGGGAGTACAAAATTGTTGCATCATAGCCCAAAAAAACCCTGAGGCTGCATCACTGCCAAAGGTGCATTGACTAATTATGGAGTTAATACTCTGAATACATCTGTTTTTTGTTTTGTTATTGGGTGTGGAGTTTATGTTAATATGAATATATATATATATATATATATATATATATATATATATACATACACACACACAAATATACATACATGCATTTTATATACAGTTTATATGGCATTTTGTATAGGTTTAACAATAACAATAAAAACCTTCTTTAGGACAGTGTAATACTTTAACAGTTTTCTAATTCATAATTGTTATAGAATTTATGAGCTCACATTTATTGATAGATTAGCTGGAATTTTAAAAAAATGTCACACTTTAGGATTATTGACATACCTGCTGAAGGTACATAGGAGAAATGCATCAAATTTTCATTCTTGGGTGTACTATCCCTTTAAGTAACTAGATCCGCTTGGCTCGGAGACAGCGGTTTTGATACCAAGCAAGCATGTGAATTCTCTAGAAAGGATAATCAGTGGGCTTTCCTTCTGTGTCTTTGCATGTGTAGTTAAAGTGATCAATAGTTTAATATGAAGGATACAGAAAGATTTAAATAGAGGCAGGCAATGGAACACGAAAGTTCTTTTCTGAAGCATAAATTGAATCAGTGATTCGTATTTAATTCTTACGATGAGAATCTGGCATAAACATTCTGAGCTTGATTTTCTCTTGTTATTAAAAAAGAGGGTCTAAATACAAGAGGCCTCAAACAGCGGGACTCTGTGAGTCTTTTCATACAGTCTTAAGTTGCTTCGTAAACACGCTAACAGAACATTTAACATATGCTGGGAACACTTAAGAAATTAGGTATTTAGATTATGCAGTTTGCAATAAAAGGAAAGGAACAATACATGTAACAGGTTTTACAAGAAAAAGAGGAGGAGGGGGATGAGGATCAGTATGTAGATGAGTATGAGAACCAACATTTAGGGTGAATATTCCTGCTGTATGCCCCAGTACAACCTAAGCTGTTCTAAGAAGATGAATCCCCCTTTTTTCCAGGACTTCAAAAACAAGCTTGTGGGAAGGTTTCCAATAGTGTCCTACCCAGAGCTGAGCAATTAAAAAAAAGAGAGAGCAAACTACACACTTGATTCAAAGCGCCTGATGGGACACTCAGAAAAAAAGGGCAGTAAGGTAGGGCTAAAAGGTACATCTTTGTACCTTATTTACCCCTAAATGATACATTAGTGCATATTAGTAGGCCTACTTTAAAAGTAACATATAGCCTACCTTTTGACAGCTTTGTTTTCTGAGAGTACATGAACTCAAAAAATACATTTGCACTCATGCAGCGACATGAAACTTGGCCAAGAGATGCGCAGGGATACGAAATCCAAATCTTATTTTACAGGGCCCACCACCAGAGGGGGACAAGTCCCCTCAATATTTAGAAGTAGCCTATAGCCAAACTGTCCCCTCAGTATTTGCTGATATCCTGTATTATGAATCCTGCCATAATATCTGCTGCCATGCATGACGCACCGCTTTGTTTGTTGTTAGGATGACAAGAACACTCTTAAAAATAAAGGTGCTTCAAAAGGTTCTTCGCAGCGATGCCATATAGAAGAACCATTTTTGGTTCCACAAAGAACCATTCAGTCAAAGGTTCTTTAAAGAACCATCTCTTTCTTACCTTTTTATAATCTGAAGAACCTTAATTCTTTCGCCACAAAGAACCTTTTGTGAAACAGAAAGGTTCTTCAGATGTTAAAGGTTCTTTATGGAACCATTTAGACAAAAAAGGTTCTTCTATGGCATCGTGAAGCACCTTTATTTTTAAGAGTGAAAGTTTTAAAAGTTGCATTTTAACAGCGCTTGTCAATGTCAAAATGAATGAGATGGCCAGTCAGATCAAAGAAGGCGGGCTAGATAAAACGTATGATAAATAGCCTATTTAATTTTTGACAATTGTTTCATGATATAAATATGAGGCTAAAAGACCGTCATTGGCTATCATCTCCAGGATAAACTATTTTCGCCATAATTTCGGCATTACATAAAAATTATTTTGGTCCCAGGTTACGGCCTTGACTTTATAGGCTGTCTTTTGATCGCGGCTTTAGGCTAGGCCTACATTCTTAAATGTAAAGCTTTCAAGAGACTTAAAACAATTACTTTTTTATAATTGTGACTGTAATTTAATTTCTGACATCTCAGGGTTTGAGGACTAAAGAGTCGAACGCGGGTCAACTCAAGAGCTGCCAGCCACAATCGATTAATGTAGTAATCCCCATTTTATTTTGCAACAAAAGAAAATCCTTCACTTCAGCTTTTCATCGACGTCCACTGCCTCGTGGGGGCTGCGTGAGGACCTCTGTTCCTACCAGGGCCAAACTCCAGTGTCCAATCCCCTTCGCTGATCCTGCACCTCTCCCGTGGACCTTTAAAAAGGCTGCTGCTCACCACGCATCAGTGCGCATTCGCTCCAGTCTGCGAACACCTCCACTTCTACAAGACACTCCTGATTTCAACTTGGTGGCACGTTATACAGTCTTTGAGATGGCTCTTCAAAGCAATATTCTGCACCTGGCCCGCAAGAGTCTGCTCCAGGAGTCATGCAAGCAGTTTCTCCTCCAAACCCACGGGCTGCACAAGTCCGCGGCGAGCGGCTCTCTGGAGATCGCGGCGCACAGTCAGGCGGATCTGAAGGAGGAGGACATGGTGCGCCCCGTCGCTGAGGAGCAGAAGGTGGCGAGAGTGAAGACCCTCCATGAGATGCCCGGACCCAGCGCCATGGTGAACCTCATTGAGTTCTTCTACCGGGATGGATTCAGCCGCATCCATGAGGTCCAGGTGAGTCGGCAGCGGTCAAATGGGACCACCGTTACGCGTTACTTTTTGTGTTTGCATTTCAATTGTGTTTCTTCAAGTGCACAGTTTACACTTTCAATACACGTTCAGTGGAAAAGACCCAGACGCAATCATGTAGACTCATCCATATGGTTTCATTTAACAAAAAGGCCACATATTTCAGTTTTATCTAAACTTTACCTCCTGTAACTTTTTATTTTACGAGTTGGCAGAAATACGTGCCAGAAATGGCCAGTGACAGTTGTTGCACAAACGTTAAATAAAATGTAACGTTTACTTTAACGTAAATAAAGATTTATTTGTTTGGAACACAGTCAAGACTCGGCTACATAATGTGCAGTGCGGACACGTGAGGTGTTGGATTACTTATTATGGAGTTGCATAAACCGGCGAGTGCAGTCTCCACCCCATCGCGAGGGACAGTCACAAACCTTATTTTATCCCAGGCTCAGTCTACACGAAGGATCAAATTCGAATTATATAGCATGCAATTCAAACACCTCAAGAATGGCCTGCTATAAAGATTGACAGCTGTCCGTCAGAGATTTGCGCCACTCAGATATGAATGCACAGGAATGCAATTCCTGATATACAGTGCAGTGGTGTGTTCTGAAATGAGGAGGCAAAGTCCTCAAAGTTTTTTTTTTAAAATCAAATGTAAATTCATGTCCCAGTCACTTGTTTAAATAAACATTGCTTACACTATCAGAGAAAGAAGAAAAAAATCTATTTTATGTGTTTACATTAACAATGTAACCAATATTCCATTTATTAAAGCCAAGTATGAATCTCATGAAGTTAGTGTTTTCAAACATTTTACATTTATTCCAAAATAATAGCTAACTCAAGGCAGTAACAATATATTTTATTTGTGAACTTATGTTTAGCTATTCTTTTTAATAGTTAACGTTTAACTAGGCTACTTTTGAATTTTTCGAGTCATAGGGTCATCAAAGCTTGGTAAATTCACAGACTTGGAGTTTTACTTTTAATTTTACCACAGAGATCATGTTTTCATGCCATTTCAAGTATTATTTTGACATAACAAAGTGGTTAGGCTATATCTGAGAGTCGTTTCCTGACTTCACCTGTTCCCTGATCTACTGTATAATAGAAACTGAGAGGGGGAGAAGGTTAATACAACTGAAAATACAATTATCTAAAATAATAAAATACAATAAAAAATAATAAAAAAATTAACAATCTGCGTTTAAAATGTAGAAAAACAAGCTTCTAAAATGAACACGTCGCAGACTAGCTAAGCCGCTAGTTGTCGGCACAACACATTAGATTAAACTAGTTGTGCAGATAACTCGATATGCAGAGTTTGAGGGGACCAGGTATCAACAATACGATGGACATTGCTAATTCTTGGCAAATCTCGAAGACATCTAATAAATACAGACATTTTTAGCGATGTGAAAGTAAACTGGAAACTCATATCCCGACCCGACTTCTGGCGACAGCAGAAATTCATTGCTACGCTTGTGCACAAACTCAATGGGCTCAGGGGAGGCAAGAGAGATGCGGACTCCTGCTGTAACTTTACCTGCTGGTGTTGCTATTGGACAATGTCTCTTCAGAAAAACGAGTGATTTATACACTTTTTAATGTTGTTTTACATTAAAGTCGGCATGAAACGGAAGTTGCGATTGTCTTTTCTTCTCTACTGTGACGTATATCCGAGTGAAACGGCATCTGAAATGAGAGGGCAGGACTTGGATCGTTGGAAGTTGGGGCGTTGCTAACAAAATGGAGGCAGATCTGAATGCCAGTTTGCAGTTAGTTGTGGGGGGATTTCTCTCCACTGGATTCACAGCTGACACCGAAGCATGAATAAATGTTTTATTTATTAAGTATGACGACGACGATCAACGGCACAAAACAAGCCTAAACAGCGCGAGAGAGAGAGAAAGAGAAAGAGAGAGAGTCTGCCTGAATGACTGAGCGCGTCCTCCATCAGGTTAAGTCATATTCATGAAAAAAATTAGTTTGCGATGTCCTAAGAGTAATGTTGTCGTAATATCCTAATATCTTTTCAATGTTTAGGGGTAACATACTCCCTCATGACTGGTGTCAGTGCTATAAAGTGAAGCATCAGCTTCAGCTTTTCCCCCTGTCGTTTATCCCAGCGTTTACCCCTCACGTCACTAGCTCCGCCCTTGCGCCATAGCTCGTGACCGGAAGAGAAGATGAGTCGTTTTGAGGGTGAGGAGAGGTTAACGCTTTTGATTAAAGATTACAAGGGCACATGAATTTAAAAAAAAAATAATGAAGTGCACGGATAAATTATTTATAATAAACACTACAGTATTCCATTAAAAAATAAGAATTTTAAATTTTGATTTCATGGTGACTTTAATCACCAATAGGACAAAACACAAATGTTTCGGCTCAAGGCGTTCTTCTGTGTGTTGAAGAGGCCTGATTTAACCCCTAATATTTTGTTTTGTTCATATAAATGAATGTATTTTAATATTAAATAATATTTTTGACTTCGATGTTAAAATGTAGATGTTACCATTTTTAAGTTACCATTTTTCAGCATGTATATGGTATGTATATACAGGACGTTTCCTCTGAGGCAATGGAGGTAGTCTCCTCAAAATACTGGATGAGAAAAAAAAATCATAGTACAAAAATCAAACAAACGCCAGTATTACAAAATAAACACTAAAAAGAATACTATTTTTTGTGACTGCGGATCATGGTCTCATATAGGTACTAAGGGTTAAATCAGGTACAAATATATCTTTAAGGTTATAGTTGCATTTATACTAGACAAATATTTAATCGGTTATGAAAAATGATTCTATCAAGAAGTAAATATGCACAATCAGTTGTAATTAATGATGGAATTATGTGTTATAATGAAATAATGATGAAAACCCTAATTTGTATGTTGATTTTCTTTCAAATTGCAATTCATGAAATTCCTCTTCATGTCATTCCAATTCAACATCCTGTGGAACATGACCAGTTGAATTCAAATTCTAACTCATGCACTGAAACAGAGCCAAAAACTCCCCAGTACTAATCTAAAATGGCCAGTGATAACTGGCATTGGTTTACATGTATATATTAATATTAAGGATCAGTTACAGTTATGTTGCGCAACAAAGTTGTCTTAGGGCTGTGAAAGATGAGAAATGTCTTCCAGGATTTTTCTGGCTGAGGAGACACAGAGGTGCCTTTGTGTTGTCTTAGTATGAATAGTACTTACGACTTGAGAAGGGGGATGAAAGTGGGCAAGCTCGCAGTGAGGGCCGTATTTGCAAATGGGCCATCCATACTGGGAAATGTCTTCTTATGCATACTGAGCAGTTGGCTAAGAGCCATATGGTCTTTGGGGAGACATAGATATTGTCAGTAAATGAGTGATGTGATATGGGCAAATTTATTTTATTGCTGTGTCACGGTTATGTTGTTTCCATTCTTATTTCAAGAAAGCATTTACAGTTTGAAGGAAACATCTAAACAAATGACTCTAATGCAGATTAGCCAAAAGCAAGAATAAAACAAATCTATTAAAAGTAAATTATATTTATATGGTTCAAGTGCATTTCTGAGATCCACATTGATCAGGTTTACAAATCGTTTTGTAGTTGGAGCATTCTCAGAAGTATGGGAAGATCTTCAAATCTCGATTTGGACCTCAGCTGGTGGTGTCCATCTCTGACAGAGACATGGTGGCACAGGTTCTCAGGACTGAAGGTGCGACTCCTCAGAGGGGTAACATGGAGTCCTGGAAGGAGTACAGAGATTTGAGAGGAAGATCTACTGGACTCATCTCAGCGTAAGTACATACTGATGTGCTTCCTTGAGGGGTGCTGTAGTCTACTGGATAAAATCGAAGCTGGTAACTTGTTTTGTCTCTTTGGATTAAAATGGTACACTGTTGTTAAGTAGTTTGAGATAAGTAAGATTTTTGATACTTTTATTCAGCAAGGGAAGGGCACATTAAATTGATCAAGTGTTACAATTACAATTGATTTCTATTTCCATTAAATGCTGTTCTTTCATCAAAGAGTCCTAAAAAACATCAGGGTTTACACAAAAATATAAGCAGCACAACTGCTTTCGGCATATTTTATAATTTCTGAAGGAGTAATGACTCCTGAAAAATCAGCTTAGCATCACAGGAATAAATTACATTTTAAAATATAATAAAATAGAAAACAGTTATTTATATTTGAAATTGTAATAATATTTTTTGGGATCATATAATTGCAGCCTTGGTGAAAATTCGAGATTTCTTTAAAAAAATATTTTAAAAATCGTACAAATCCTTGAATGGTAGTAGGTAAATGACAAATTAGTAATGTGAACCTGCAATTTCCCAATATTATATATATATATATATATACTTATTTAATTTTCCTGTCTCTGATAACAAATATATGATGTTTTCTATTTCCAGCGAGGATGATGAATGGCTGAAGATGCGCAGTGTTCTGCGCCAGCTGATTATGCGGCCCAAAGATGTGGCTGTTTTCTCCCCTGACGTCAACGCTGTGGTGGACGACCTGGTGGAGAGAGTAAAGACACTGCGTAGCCAGCAGGACGACAGACAGACTGTCCATAACATCAATGACCTGTTCTTCAAATATGCCATGGAAGGTGAGCCTGAGGGCAGAGTGTGCGTTATTGTGGTAAATTGGAAAGGAATAGGAGGGCTTTGTATAAATTAAATTTGATCCAGCTATTTAGGGAGTCTGAGTTGGGGATTAAACAGATGTTCCACAGACAGATAAGGAATTTTTGGGGAGATTTGTTTTTTAATATAGCAAGTGTTGTCACCTTTTTACATACTTATATAGCACTTTATACAAAACCATTTTCAATTTTAATGCAGCATCACAGTAATAAAGAGTAAACTAAAAGTGACAATGTTGGCAAATGTTCATCAATGATGAAACAACTTCAGTTTAGTTTCATTAATCAGCTCAGTTCATTCAATTCAATATTGATTTGGTTTAGTTTAAAGGGGTCATATGATGCGATTTCAAGTTTTCCTTTCTCTTTGGAGTGTTACAAGCTGATTGTGCATAGATAAGATCCCTAAAGTTGCAAAGACTAAAGTCTCAAAACCAAAGAGATATTCTTTATCAAAGTTAAGACTCTGCCACGCCCCCCTAAAACGGCTCATTCTAACACGCCCCCACATATCTACCCCACTATGTATCTTTAAAAAAGCATCATATGACCCCTTTAATAACACCGTCAATGCTGCAAAGTTCACCAGTGATGAAACCACTGCAATTTTAGCTACAAAAGTAACTCTGTAGAAGATAATAGAGTCTATAATCAGCTCAATTCAGATTAGTGTTGATTGCTGCAAAATTAATCAATGATGACACAACATGAATTTAAGCTAACGCTATAGAAGACAATAGTGCCATTGATCAGCTCAATTCAGTTCAATGTTGATATAATTTAAACGAAAACAAAATTCCTCGTATGTGTAAACATACCTGGCAATAAAGCTCATTCTGATTCTGATTCTGTCAGTGTTGCAAAGTTCATCAATTATGACTTCATAATTGATATGAACTATATAATTAACTAAATAATGAACTAAAATTATTCATAATTTTAGCTATTAACTAGCTCTACATAAGATAATAGTGACATTAATTAGCTCAGTTCAGTTTAAGTTTTTGTGTTTTCACAAATACAGTAGCGTTAGATCTGTAGTATTTTTTGAATATTAATTATCTTTTAATTGTCATTTGCTGATGTCAAAAAAACGGCCCACTAAATTCTTACATGTACATATAGTTGAAAGTATAATTTCTGATAAACCCTCTGCATTGTGATTATTTGTGGATCTCACTTTACTCCTAATAGAACAGTGGATTAAAGATTCAGATAAGATTTAGATTAGCACATGAAAACCTTAGCAAATAATTGCTATTATTTGTGGGAGATTCAGTATAGTAAATCCATACATGTGAAGCAATACGTTATGAAAAACACAATGTTAAACTCTTTCCTAGGTGTTGCAACCATTTTGTATGAAACTCGCCTGGGCTGCTTGGAAAACGAAATTCCCAAGATGAGTCAGGAGTACATTGCTGCACTGCACCTCATGTTCAGCTCTTTCAAGACCACCATGTACGCCGGTGCCATTCCCAAATGGCTGCGCCCCATCATTCCCAAACCCTGGGAGGAATTCTGCGGCTCATGGGACGGCCTCTTCAAATTCAGTAAGAGCAGAGGGAACTGTGGTGGGGTTCAGTGTCATTGTGAGAAAGTTGGTCTTTTTGTTAAAAGTTTGTATAAATGTGTGTTTTAGGCCAGATCCATGTGGACAAGAGGCTTTCAGAGATCAAAAAGAAGATGGAGAAAGGCGAAGAGATTAAAGGAGGGTTGCTGACTCACATGCTGGTCACCAGAGAGATGAATCTGGAAGAGATCTACGCAAACATGACAGAAATGCTTCTGGCGGGTGTGGATACGGTAAGAACTGGTCCAATAGCAGCTGGGAAGTCATTGCTTCTGAATTTGTGGTTCATGACTCGTAATTTGGCATGAATTCAATGGTAGACACCTAGTAACCCACATTAATCTGGCCTTTACTGAAGTTATGCTGCAGTCTCTCCAAGCAGTGAATGCGTGTGTGGTGATTTAAAAAGCAGAACACTTTGTGTATTGAGACAGCTGGAGAAATGGTTGCATCTAATGGTGATGATAAACGAACCTTCTCATCGGGACAGCATCTCAGGCGTCTTTTTCTCATCCTGTGAACTCTTTTCAAATGGTCAAATCGTAACGGGTGTCTGAGGTCTCAATGGAGAACGCTGTGTTCACTTGACCCAACGCTGACCTCTCTCCATACATCTCACCCACAATAAACAAGACCTGCCAAGACTCTCCCATTTCACTGATGTGTCAGTTGGCATCCTCTTCTCTTTGATCTTTCCCTCTCTTTTTCTTTCAGCCGTATGATCACATTAGCCATCGTGAGCCAAAGCCGGTCATGTAATCTTTCCCTCTCCGCCTGTCTGTCTCTCTGTCTTGCTTTCACTTTGGCAAGGTGCCTGTTTTGGGTTCTTGCTCCAAAAAGGAATTAGTCACCCAAAAAGAAAAAGGTGAACATTGTGATTACTGGAGCTGAACACGCATGACAGCAGCCGTTTTAGGCCCAGATTTATCTGAGATAAAAGTAATGATGAATGGAGAGAAGCATGGCAGGTGGTTCATTACAGGATGAAGGGGTGGAGAGAGATGGCCTAACAAGGGGGAGAGTGAATGATGTTGGCTGGGCAATCTTTGAAAGGAGGCTGAAAAAGCGTCATTGGGGGGTGGACAGGTTTGGGAGAATCAGTCCATGGGAGTGAATCAGTGGTTATGTAATGGAACGTCTTATGCAAAACTGCAAAATATAGTAGAGCGGTGACAGAAATGATCTTTTCCATTATTTGTCCCTTTAATTTGATTTCCAGGGGAATTTTTTTTACCTTCATAAGTTATTTTATGTCAGATTCTTAAATTTATCAGTAAATTCAATTAGAATAATTAGATATCGTGACACTATGTCCTAATTATTGTAATTGCTGGTACCAATCAAATGAAATCAGTATTAACAAAATTCATTTTTGCACCTCCAAAATGGCACAGAAACTGCATTTAAAGTGGCATTTAGATGTATTTACACCTCTAGATGTACTGCTTAATGCAGCTCAGAGGTGGTATGAATGCATTTACATTGCAATTCCATAATAAATAGTTTTATGAGATTAATGTTTAAATATAAAATTCTGAATAAAGAAATATGAAAGGATGAGAAAAAAAAACGAAATTATACTTTGAAAATTAAACTAAGCGGAAAAATTAAACAGTGTCTTAATGAGTGAGTCATTGAATCATTCATTCAACTGACTCGTTCAAAATGGCTCATCCATTCAGTAATGAAACACTGCTGTGGCCTTGTTTAGACCTATTTTCACTGGCAAAATACTGTGGTATAAATCAATATCACATATGCATCATATTTCAGAAAAGCAACACATGCTTTTATGATATTGCTTAACTATATCATGTATTATTCCCCATATCTTTAATTTTGCACCAAGCAGAGGAATCAGTGTAGATCATGTTACTACTCTCTAATAAGTCATCAAATGTTCTTCTCTCTGCCCCTCTACAGACCTCTTTCACACTGTCATGGAGCACATACCTTCTGGCAAGACATCCTATAATACAGCAGGACATTTTTGAGGAAGTAGACCGAGTGCTGGGTGGGCGTGTCCCAACCGGAGAGGATGTTGCTCATTTGCCCCTTATTAGAGGGCTTGTTAAAGAGACTCTCAGGTAAGCTCTGCCCACCACTCATTATTTATTGCAAAGTTTATTGAGTTTAGGACAGAAATACAGTGATCATTCAAAAATCAAACAGTATAAACACTTCCCTCCGTCTCTCTAACGCATGCAGGCTTTTCCCTGTTCTGCCTGGAAATGGACGCGTTACACAGGAGGATCTGATCGTCGGAGGTTATTTCATCCCTAAAGGGGTAAGAACATATATCATGTGACTGTATGTGTATGCAAAAGCACATTTTTACATGCTTGTCTCATAAACACGTGTCAAAACCTGCCCCTGAGTAGAAGCATTGTTTCATGCCTTTCTTTCCTGCAGTTCTAGATTTAATTACCTTGACCTGGATATATGTAGATAAAGTGTGCTAGAAAAAAAAACACAGTTGACTTGTATTGTCACAGCATTAATTATGTTAAAAAGATTTAAAAGACTTTAAAAGAAAACAATTGTTATGCAATAAGGGAATAACTTCAATCAGTGGTTCTCAACCCACTAGGAGGCCTCAGGAAATTTCGAGGGGGCATTTTTATTATTTTATTATCATTTTGAGAATGAATTATTTACATTTGAATCTATATTGATAACAAAAGAATTTATATTAATATGATTTAATAATTAAAATTATAATGATAAAAACACAAACTATCAACAACTATTAAATCAATAACTAATTACTAAACATAGTAGCTATTGTTTTTATTGAAAAATCTCCCAACTTCCTGTGTTCGCAGACTCAGCTGGCTCTGTGTCATTACTCCACCTCTATGGATGAAGAGAACTTCCCCTGTCCCGGAGAGTTCCGTCCAGATCGTTGGATTCGCAAGGATGCCTCTGACCGTGTCGATAACTTCGGCTCCATCCCGTTTGGCTACGGCATCCGCAGCTGCGTCGGGAGGAGAATAGCCGAGCTGGAGATGCATCTGGCTCTTACACAGGTGCTTGTTTATATATGCGTCTCAAAATTCAAACGATCCAAACCATAGTGGTGCTTATTATTATTAAGCAGATTGTTGTAATAAAGACAGATATTACTTGAATGTGAACTCTAATTCCCTTGTCTAATGGTGTATTGATGTTCTTCTCCATCACAGCTCCTGCAGAAGTTCTACATTGAGGTGTCTCCCCAGACCGCTGATGTGTGTGCTAAGACTCATGGCCTGCTCTGTCCGGGAGCACCCATCAACCTTAGATTTGTGGACCGAAAGTAATCTGCCATTACACTGTGTGTGAATTTAAACCATAATCCATACTGTGCTTCTTGGAATCCAAAGACTGTTAGTGTTTTTGTGTATTATAGTGCCTCCTCCAGCTTTTATCCAGCGAAGAATGTTGCTTTTATTTATGTGTGAAGTGCCTCTAAGACTGTTTTAATAGTGCTCTTGTGTGAATGTTTATAGCCAATCAGAAGACCAACTATTTTAAAAACGTTTAGAACAGGCACTATTTCATATAGTCGAATCAATACGAATTACTTCAAGAATTGCTTTTTTAAAAAAAATTGTATTATATTATTCATTTACAGAATTAATTTACATCATACTATCTGTCATTTTCTCTTGTAGCTTTTTTATTTTGCTCAGCCTTAAAAAATAGCATGAAATATGGTCAAGAAGACCTTGTATATAGATGTTTTACTATTAAATGAGCTTTAGCACTAAGCTCATTATTTATTTAACATGGTACTTATGTAAGCTTAATGACTTTTAGCTTACAAGCAGAAAATTCCTAAAGCAAACACAAGTGAGTAAATCCTAATACAACTACAAAGCTACTTAAGAAGACTGTGCTAAAATCCTGTCCTGTGGACACTAATATTGATATAAATACCGTGTAAGGAAAACACCTCAAATCACAGCAATGTCCGGCTATTATTATCTAATTTGTTATTCAAGAGCGAGGATTTTGTGTTGGTTCCTCTTTAGTGGAAAACATTTTAATGCGAAATGCAAAATTGTGCCTCTTTTTTTTTAGTGCACTAGCCTTATAGGCAACAAATGGATAATGGGAACTGGTGGAAATGAAGTATTTTTGGGATAAAATTAATGTTGTTTTTGAGGGTTGTGAACTTAATGCATTGTATGAAATTAGGAAGTGTGGAAATGCCTAAGTTACTTAATTTTGTACGAATAAACTACACTTTGAAGACCTGCTGTGTTGTTCATTTGTTGTTTGTTCTGTTTAAACTCTATTTAAACACTAAACACTAAAAAAAAAATCATAATAGTCTGTCACACTTACCTGAACCACGTGAAAATTAATGAAAAATTGCCTCTCAGAAACTTTGCAATAAAATTCCATATGTAACATTGACTCAGTAACGACTTTTGCCCTCATAATTGTGATTTTAAAATTTCATGTACATAAACTTTGACAGACTGATGACGCATGACTTCAGAAATAACGTAAAAGTAAATGCATTATCCATCTCTATGTAGTCCTTACCTTTATCCACCAGATGGCAGGATGGTTTGATGAATAAAATGAAGGTCAAATAATTAACATATATTCTAAAAGAGTCAATTATAATTCCCTCGTTTGCCATTAGCGGCATAGACTGAATTATCTAAATTACAAATAACCAAGCGAATTACATGTTTAATACATGCTGTAGCGTGAGGCATGTGAGGAGATGTGCCTGGGAGTTATTTAGCAAGAATTCCATGTTCTGATTGGTCAAGAGGAAGCGAACTACATTCTCTGATTGGCTAGAACTTGACGCTGCGAGTCTCTGGCCATCCGATGCATTAATTAGATGACAGTCGGCAGATGGCGCTGTGGAGTCACGTGAGTTGTTTGAGTCAAAGGACAGCGGTGCTGTTCTAAAGTAGTGTGTGTCTGCGCGTGTTTTTAAGTGTACTTAATATCCAACATCTTTTGCTAAATGTGTCGTATTCTCTTTTGGATTAATTTTCTGACCAGACCTTCTAATGCTTGTGCGTTGCTATCGTCTTAGTTCGTAAATCTTAATATTCTTCTGTCGGTCTAATTGACAGCAGTTGATCTTCGTCAGGTCGAGCGCGTTGAATCTAATGTAAACAAACCCAGTTTCGCAGTTTTCATCCACAAACTCGCCTGGAATCACCGTCAGCGGCTTTCACCAACCTGTTAAGTGTGTTGGAGTCAGCGGGAGATGATTTGGCCGTGTAGTCAGGCCTTGGACTAAAGTTGAAGCCGTTTAATTGAGTCTGTCAAGAGTGTCAGGTTCGTCGCGAGGCCTCATATCTGTGGATGAGGAAGTGAACGGACCGAGCTCACCCAGGTGATCAAATACTTTTTAGTTGTATCTGTTTTATTAGATGACTGCATAATAAAGGTATTTTAATCACATAAGACCGTAAAAATCTCTCTGTTAGCTGTTAAAGCACAAAGTGGCTCGTTAGCATCTTGGCGCAATGCTAATTTTGGCCTAGAGAGCTAAGCGACTAACTGTGTGTTTATAAATATGATTTAGGGCCGTAGTTATATTTAACATTGTGTCTTGGTGCAGACCAGATAAAATTGAATACTAAATGCCATTGTGACCTTAGTACAACATTAGTATGTCATTGCATTTGGTTACTTTGACCTGCCATAGTTTTGACAGGTGCTAGCAAGCTAATCAGTTAGCTTGGGAATTAGCTTTGCGTGCCGTTAGAATGTATCGGTACATTAATTGAAATCTTCTTTTCTGAAATCGTTCTTTTACAGTTTATCTTATTGTGTGTGTTATTTTGTCAGTTGTTACTATGTTTTACTTGAACTGTCATACATGGCCATGAATGGGGTAGAACCTTGTCTCGACTTACGACTTGTTCTGATAAGATATTTTTCTGTAGTTTGACATTTACTTTTATTTTAGATGTCATGATTTTTTGTGAGTTTAAATCAAATACTTATGTGTGTGTGTGTATCAGTCAAACTAGCTGCTGCTGTCATCTAGTGTCATTCAGTTCAGATTTTGACAGATGCCTGCTGAAGACAGTACAGTATACTGGGTCTTTTAAAGGAACAGTTCACCCAAAAATGAAAGTGTACTTACATTTTTCTCACCCTCAGGCCATCCAATTTGTACATGAGTTTATTTCTTCATAGGAACATATTTGGAGAAATTTAGCGTTTCCTCACTTGCTCACCAATGGATCCTCTGCAGTGAATGGGTGCCATCATACCATCATGTATTGTGCAGTGAATAAACAAATTCATCAACTCATTTTTAACTTCAAACTGCTGTGTCCAGCTAAAATACGAGTCCTATATCCATAATATTGCTTTCACTAGTGAAAAATTCATTTCATCTGAATGAGGAGAGAAATATACACAGATCAAGCAACTTTTACAAGTGAAAACAGTCTAAAACAGTTATAAACAAATATGTTGGTGGATTTTGATGGAGGACAACAGAGGGTGGAGTTTTTGTTTTTTGTTTTTTACTCGAGGAAGTGTTACTATAGATTATAGATTCCACTATATTTTGGCCAGAAGCAACAATTTAAAGTTAAAACACCTTGATGACGGATTTGTTTCTTACAAACACACAGCTTTTCACTTCACAAGATGTTAATTGATGTAATAGAGTCGTGTGGTTTGCTTGTGGATTTCTGTGATGTTTTTATCAACTGTTTGGACTTTCATTCTGATGGCACCCATTCACTGCAGAGGATCCATTGGTGAGCAAGTGATATAATGCCAAATTTCTCCAAATCTGTTCCGATAAAGAAACCAACTCATCTACATCTTAGATGGCCTGAGGGTGAGTGCATTTTTCAGCAATATTTTTGGGTGAACTATTCCTTTAATGAGAGACTATGATTCTAATGTAATGTAATAATTCTGAGTAATTGCAACAACAACAAAAAAAATACTCATTGTAATTGTAATTCCATATCCAACAGCATTGCTTTCTAATGTGCTGCTATATAAAGATTAACTTTTTTTTTTTTTTTTTTGCTGTTCTGCGGTAACAGAACAATTTAGTGCCAGTGATTTCACTAATAGATTTTTAATGGTTTATTGTCAATGAGCACAAATATTTTATGTTAATCTCATTAATAAATAATGGTATTATTTATGTAATAAAAATATTGTTTTCTTGTATAGGAGAAAGGATCCCATTTCATGGGAGAATCCTCTTTCCTTTACTCCTGGGTGAACCGGTGATCTGTCAAAATGGGTATGTGCTCAGTTTTTAAAAATTCGTCAAAATACTGAAAGAATTTTTAGTAGTACAAAGGATGTAATCTGTGTTTATATTGAGAAATTTATAATTATAATAAGAATTTGTTATAAAAATACCTTGTAGATGAGCAGGAGGCCCTGAATTCCATCATGCAAGACCTGGTGGTGCTGCATCGATCCAGTCGACCATCTGGTCTGCCTGACCTGGGCAAACACAAGGCCTCCTCTCCTAAGAACCAGGTCTGCATTGACTCTTTTGTTATTCACATCAGCACCAGATACTTTGTTTTTTTTTTTTCTTTTTTGTTTTTAAGAAACTCAGTTTCTTAACTATAACTGTTATCTCAATGTAGAATAAAACATATGACAAATGGGCATTATAAGTTATATTAGCATTTACCACTTATCTGTCACTTGAACACATACAAAGAGAACGTATACTGTAAAAGTGACCACAGTTAAATAAGGGTGATGACAGTGACATTGTTTAACTGTACACAGGTCTTCATACTAGAGGGTTATGTAGTTTAAAATGTCTTGATATTTTTCAGTATTTATGTACCAATTTTTAGTCCGAGGAACACCAAACAGCCTATTAAATAGCATAAGTTAATAAGCTCATCGGTCTGAAAAGCGAGGTGTACGCTGATTGGCCAGCTATCCAGTGCGTTGTGATTGGCCAAATACCTCAAGCGTGTGACGGAAATGTTACGCCCCTTACCATACTGTGATGCCGTGTCCCGGCGCGACGAGACAGAACCAATAAAAAACCATTACAAACGAGGCATTTGTTGCATCCAGTGGGGACATAATTACTGATTATAATGACTTATACTGTCTTTTTACGCATTGCGTTACGTATCGCGCCACGTAAACATAAAACCATATATAGTAATAAAAAGCAATATTTTTCTAAATATATTTTGCAAAAACATTTTAATAAATGAAAAATACCATAGAGACTTCAATGATCATCAGTGATGCTGCATTCGTTGAATACATGCATTGAAATAGACGGTTTGAACTAATTAATGGAAATTGCCAACTTTAATGCCCTTTTTTAATAAGAGGCACTGTTAAAATATCTGCGTTAACAAAAATGTGAGACAAGGACAGTTCGTGAAACTAATCTATCAACACAGTCACAGGCACATTAAAAAGTGCACTAAAATCTTTGCAATATTGCTATCAATGCTTATTTTCTGTTATACACAAATATCATTGTGAATCTACATTTATATAGAATATTCTCTGTGTTTCCCAGTGCTGTTTCACACTGTTGTAAATAAGAAACATTGTGCATTGATAGATGGGTAAAACTGTGTTTTCTTGTCCACAGAATGATGTAAGGGTGAAGTTTGAGTACAGAGGAGAGAAGAGGTAATGACCACAATTCCTGCTTCTGCTCTACATCGCTTCCTTTTTTTAGCACTTCCCTCTAGAGGTTTCTCTTAATTAAACCTGTCCGACAGAGCTCTGTAGACGCTGTGTAATGGATCTTGTATTAGCTAGTTCAAACCTGCGTTTTTATTCCCACTTTTATTCACTTTACATAAGATGTTTTGGTCTAAGCCAAATGAACTAAGGGGCTTCTTATTTAGTTAAAGTGTTAGTGGATTAGTGATGTAGTTTTGGGTAGTCATGTGTTTGTGTGCATCTGAGTGTGTGTCTTAATGTGTTTGTGTGTGTTTATGCAAATACTAAGAACCAAACACTGCCAGAATAGATGCCACGCTGGAATATGAATGAATGATTTTTATTTATTTTTGTAATTTTGATATGATCACCAGTATTGGGGGTAACACATTACAAGTCATTTGAGTTACGCAATCAGATTACTTTTCTCAAGTAACTAGTAAAGTAATGCATTATGTGTTACTTAAGGATCCTGCAGTTCCCTCGACCTGTCAGTCTTGAAGATCTGAGTGCCAAAGCTAAAGTAGCATTTGGGCAGACCATGGACCTGCATTACACCAATAATGAGGTAAAAGATGCTACTACAGCTTTATCATATTTATGATATGTTTATTTGAATGTTTTCATAACAGAAAGCCTGGTTTCCTTTTCTCTGTCCTGTAGCTTGTGATTCCGTTGAGTACTCAGGACGATCTGGATAAGGCCGTGGAGCTGTTGGATCGATCAGTGCATATGAAGAGCCTAAAAATCCTGCTTGTGCTCCCCTCCTGTACTCAGGTCAGTGGGCATTATAAACTATGTTCAGAGAAAAAGTGCTAGTCTGAGACCTGTGACCTAATCTAAAAGCTAAATGCATCAAATGTTCTTGTGCTTTCAGAACTCTGTCTCCAATAAGGACCTGTTGCCAGCTCACGAGAACTTGGACAACACAGACTTCAGTGCTGCAGCTAAAAAGAACATGCTGGCACTCATAGGTGGGTTGCACTCAGTGGTTTTGAATTGCATCCATGACAGAAGTCAACATAAATACGAAATTGACCCCATTTACTTTTTTAAATGCACACTCTTGGCCTCATTGTGCTCAATTCATTGAAAGAAAAAATCTCTTCATTATCTTTAATCAAAATATAGTGACTTACTCTTCTTCTGAAATGACTTTCCATTTGGGTTGATGTGACAAATCACTTTTACTTTTCAATCCCTCACCTTGATCTAACTGACTCCATTCTGTTCAGATTATGAAAGTGTGTAAGGTGTTTGTTGCTCTCTTGATTCTTCTCCAGGTTCTCAGTCAACCGATCGTAGTTCTCCTCCTCCAGGCTATATTCCTGATGCTCTGCAGCAGGTGGCCAGAAACGGCTCTTTCACAAGCATCAACAGTGAGGGCGAGTTCATACCAGAGAGCATGGACCAGGTACAAAGTCTGGTTGAGCTGATGTGGGTTTACTAAGCAGTAGCATAATCAGCCTGTGTCCTGATGGCTCATTTATCTTTTCCTGTTTTTCTCTCTATAGATGCTGGACCCTCTGTCTATGAGCAGTCCTGAGAATTCAGCGTCAGGCAGCTGTCCTTCACTGGACAGTCCACTTGATAGGTGAACAACTAACCCACACATACATGTAGCCACAATCAAACTATTACTGAAGATGGTGCCTTGCCCATAGACTTCCTTTTACAAATGCATTACTGAAAATGCAATCTGAACTTGTGTCTACAGCATTCCTTTAGTATGTCAGGAAAAGTATTAAGTAGAGATGCACCGATTGCAATTTTCTTGGCTGATTCCGATTTCCGTTTTTTTGTAAGAGTGACCTGCCGATGCTGATTTTCTTTCTAAGAACTATAATTGACAGCATATATGTAAAAAAAAAAAAAATTTCAATGCAAAAAATTATTTGCATAATAAAAGAAATTATTGAACATTACAGTTCCCCCGATCTAAACTAAGTTACAGATGGTCTCTCACATAAACAGCTCTCAAAATAAAGTGCTCTGTGACTGGAAAGAGTCAATTAACTGAAAATGAGTTGCTGTATATACCAAAACAGATGATATTTCCCACTGTTTGTAAATGGTCATTTTTTTCCCGAACCTTATTAAATGTGTTATCTTTCACATCAAATTCTTACATTGTTTCAATTAATTCAGTTAGAATAATGAGACTGTAGAGTTGTTGTCATTCAAATGAAATCATCTTTCTACTGCAGGAAACGGAAGCTGCATCTGAAGTGGCATTAGATGTATTTACACAGACTGTTTGATGAAGCTGAGGTGCCATAAATGCATTTACACCGCAGAATTTCAAATGCATAAATAATTTGATAAGATTGTTTTAAATATTTTTTGAATATACAAAGAAGAAATTTGAAAAAATGCAATGATACTTTTAAATATGAAACCAAACCACCAGTAGGAGGCAGCAAATGACTGTTTTAATGAGAGTAATTTAGTCATTCATTCAACCGATTCGTTCAAATGGCATATTCATTCAGAATCGAGGCAAATTACTTTTCTTTATGAATGGGTTGCCGGATCATTGACTCCCTCGATCGTTCAAAAACATGGATTCATTCAGTAACAAAACACGCTGTGTGTTGGTGGGAGACAGGGGCCAGTTGTATAAACCTAGCCTCTATGTTAAAAGTATGAGTTTGAGCAACTAGCAGTTAGCCAAAGGGCTATCAGTCTTATTTTTGTATTCAAATTAGATTAATCTATGCTTTTATGTTACTGAATTAAAAAAAATATTACCAGTCTTAAAGAAAAAAATTAGAAGACTAACTTATAAGACTAGTCTAAACCTTTTATGCAACCGGCCCCAGTTCTGCTGTGGCTTTGATTAGAACGATTTTCTTCAGCAAAATTGAGCAAAAACAGTCCATATTGTGCCTAAAATGTAAGTCACTTAATTTTAACTTCGTTTATTGAACTACTATAGTATAAAATCAGTGTTACATTGCAATTGTGTTGATGCAAATGTTGCTTGCCTAAATCTTATATTATAAATTTTTTTTTTTGTATGCATGATGCATCTATAACTTTTTTGTGTGTTGCGCTCATTTGTTTTGATTTCTGCACAAATCTCTCTCTCTCACTCTCACTCAGACAGGATGCGCAAGCCTCATCTGGCTTTACATTATCAGTCGCTGTTTACACTGAATGCATAAATTCAGAATCATTCTCGCGTGAAAATATTTGGTCGCCATGTTTGTGCTTCACTAGTTATTTTTGTTATTGAGGTTTTAATCAGGCTTCTGGTCTGGTTGAGCAAGTAAAATTCTCTTTAACTTGCCCCTTTAAAAAATCTACTTGGACCAGCGTTAATCGAGCCCTGTGGTTCCCCCACAGTTTACTTTGGCCCTACACGTATTACAAATTGCGAACTTTGTGTCTTCTTGACTCGCAGTGGAGTGACATGTTTACATGCAGATGTAAGAGTAAGTGTGACGTCAAAATGGACCAGCTCAAATCGGCAGCCTGACCGCAGACTCACTGGTCCAGGCCAATCATGCGGAAAATTGTCTGATTCCGGTCCCTTGTTGTTCGATCGGTGCATCTCTTGTATTAAGCAGCACAACTGTTTTTAACATTAATAATAAGAAGAAATGATCCTTGAGTTACAAATCAGCATATTAGAGTGATTTATGAGGATCATGTGGCACTGAAGGCTGAAGTAATGACTGCTGAAAATTCAGCTTTGCGTCACAGGAATAAATTACATTTGAAAATATATTAAAATAGAAAAAGCATTATTTAAAGGGGTCTTATGACGTTGCTAAAAAGAACATTATTTTTTGTATTTGGTGTAATGCAATGTGCTTATGCGGTTTTAGGTTAAAAAAACACATTATTTTCCACATACTGTACATTATTGTTTCTCCTCTATGCCCCGCGTTTCTGAAATGTGTCGATTTTTACAAAGCTCATTTGAATCATCAGTGGCAAATTCTTTAAATATGAAATCGTAACGTTACTTACAGTCTGTGAGTCAGAAGCGCCAGACTGTCCTTGCAAAGTTGGAATTGCCCCACTTTATAGAAACAACTTTGTGCATAGCCGCAAGTACTCCAGAGTGCAGTCTGGTGTTACTCCACAGCCGGGGCATTGTAGGCTACTCTGCAGGTTCAGGAAACAGTCCTCCGTAAAAATGCGCTGCACACATCTGAATATTTGGGTTGAACTGTTCTGGAACAGTGTTGTAAATGCAACTTAACCACTGATTTGTAGTTGTGTCCTCTTTTGGAAGGCCAAACAAAGTAGTTTCGCTTTCTCAACGAAACACAGCGTCTCCACGACATGGCGGCGATAAATCAAAGTTACGCCGCCTTTCTTTGCGGGAACATTTGGGTGGTGTTATGCAAATCTTCCCACACAGTGACCTAAACATGTGGGGGCGTGTTTAAACAAGGCGTTTTAGGATGGCGTGGACGAGTCTTAACTTTTATAAAGAATATCTCTTTGGGTTTGAGACTTTAGTCTTTGCAACTTTAGGGATCTCATCTATGAACGAACAGCTTGTAACACTCCAAAGAGAAAGGAAAACTTGAAATTGCATCATATGACCCCTTTAAAATAGTGATAATACTGTTTTTGCTTTTTTGATCAAATAAATGCTGCCTTGGTGAGCATGAGAGACTTTTTGAACTGTAATGTACAGTTCCTGCATGTTGTTAAATTTAAATACTCAGTGATTTTTTTTTTTTTTTTTTTTTTGGTTTTTTTTCAGTTGATACCTATCCTAAATCCCGTATGCCTCGAGCCCTGAGCTACCCTGATAACCATCAAGAGTTCCCTGGTAAGCTGTTGCTGATCTTTCTGCTTTGATGTCACATGAATACTAACGTTAGATAGACTTAGAAATGCAATCTTGATTGTTTGTGCTCTGTTTCACAGAGTACGATATACCAGTGTTTGAAAAAACAGGGAAGGGAGGAACCTATCCTAGGCGATATCCCATCTCGTTTGGTCTGCACGACTACAGCGATGGTGAGGTTATGTTGGACCTTGGCCATAAACAGAAGCTTTGGTAATTTTTCTAAAAAAGCAAAACCAAGCTTGCATGCGCTGTTCCTAAATTGGATCATCTTTCTCCGCTCAGGGCGAAAGACCTTTCCCAGGGCACGGCGGACTCAGGCTCATGGTTTTCGTTCTCCAGTGAGTTTCAGTCCAACAGAGCAGCAGAGCCCCAGCACTAGCAGTGGAAGCAGCATCTTCACTCCTGAGCTAGAGGAACCAGGGCGCAGACGCCGCGGCAGCGACATAGAGCCCAGCTCTAACCCCACTCTCTCAGTCATGGACATCAGCCCTCCAAGCCGCTGTGAGTGCATTTAGGGTTTGGAGGAGAACATCTTCTGTCTGTACCAGTTTCCTTTGTACTAACAATGTTGACATTTGTGGCTGATCTAATGTTAACTTGGTGTTGACATGCAGATGAAGCTTATTATAGTTCTGATTTGTCAGGTGTGACACTACCAATTATCCTTGAGTTTGAGGTGTGCATTTGTAATTTGATCAGCTGCAAATATATGTTGCTTTCCAATAACCCAATATTTTAAAGGTATTTTATATACACTCCCTTTTAAAATACATTTATTCAGTAAGGATACATTAAATTGAACAAAAGTAACAGTAAAGTCATTTATAATGTCACAATAGAAAATCTAGGGTTAGGGTTACAAACATTTCTATTTAAAAAATGCTGTTTTTTTAAGCTTTCTAATCAATTAAAAAATTAAGCAGCATAACTGTTTTTAAGTGGTATAATAAGAAAGCATATTAGACCGATTTCTGAAGAATTATGTGAGACCGAAGACTGGAGTAATGGCTGCTGAAAATTCAGCTTTGCCATCACAGGATAATTTACATTTTTTAAATATATATTTTAAGATAGGAATGTTATTTTAAATTGAATTAGTATTATACAGTTTTTTTTTTGTTGTTTTTTTTTACAGTATTGTTGATCAAATATCTCCCCAGGCTGCAGATTGAGGATAAAAGACTTCAAAAACATTAAAGCAACTTTCTGACCCCAAATGTTTGTACATGTGCAACCAGTAATATCTTAGCCTAGTTTTCTTCATTCAGTCATAGTCCTATCCTACAAAATTTCTTAACCTTCTTGAAATTGCTCTTCGTGAGTACATTATCTATAAAACGATTTTTAGAGTCTTTAATAAATTGTAAATCCAGTAAAATATGTTGGACTACAAAATTAATTTAAATAAATTGGTCAAAAAGCTGAGGGGAAACTCTGTATAATGTGTTGTTCTGTGTGTAATTGCCTCTTTCTTTTGTTTATAGCCCCTCGGGCTCCCACAAACTGGCGTCTAGGCAAGCTTTTGGGGCAAGGAGCGTTCGGGCGAGTGTTTTTATGCTACGATGCTGACACTGGCAGAGAACTGGCTGTTAAACAGGTGCAGTTTGACCCGGATAGCCCAGAAACCAGCAAGGTGAACATCGTTTTTTAAAGGCTTTGTACAGCTAGTATGGTGTCTAGTTGAACCTTTGCACTTATTATGGTTTGTATGTGTGTTCAGGAGGTGAGCGCTCTGGAGTGTGAAATTCAGCTGCTGAAAAATCTATTCCATGAGCGCATTGTTCAGTACTATGGCTGCTTGCGGGACACACATGAAAGAACTCTTTCCATTTTTATGGAGTACATGCCTGGGGTAAGTATGTTTTAATTCACTTAAACACACATGTTCTTGTATGCTTACTGTGTTTTCTAAAGTTTTTGCAGCACTAAAAAAAGCCTGTGTCCTGAACTAATTTTTTTATAATTAAAATGTAATTCAGGACTCCAGACTGCGACCATTTTTCTGCCTGTGCGACTAAATTTTGTGTGGTTGCCCTGGCGCGACCACCACGTTGTTCAACTCATAAGCGCTGCCATTTCTGTTGCATATGAGGAACATCAAATGGCAAACGAAACTGAAAGCATAACGAAACCGCGCTACTCGTTTGAACTGCACAGCGCTTAGAGTGTAGAGCCTGCTTTATACTTGCAGCGTCAGCAGGAGCGCGAAGGTGCACGCAGCAAAAATTACATGAATATTGTTGAAACGATGGATGGTTTTCAAGCTAAAGTAAAGTAAAAGACTGCTACTTAAACCAGAGAAGGTGAACATGTTGGTATTCTTGTGGAAAAAAAACATGCAAGCACTGTCACCGACAGCCAATTTAGTTTTACTTTTCTTTTTGTTTTCATTTTGAAAATCCTGTTATCTTTGCTGTTTACCGCACGTTACACTATGGAGGTTCTTTTATTTATTTATTTATTTATTTGATTTCTCAGTGTTTGCTAAACGTTCTGTAATTTATTAGTAGGTATATAATGCAGCATGTGGTGTATGCCATGCCTCATCTTATTCATTTTTGTTAATAAACGTTTTGTAAGCTAGTTGCCATTGTAACTTACTGTTTTATTGTTGTTGTGCTTTTTAATTAAGTATAACAATGAATCCATCTTTTGTTTTAGGCTTAAAAAGTGAAAGGTCTGTAGATGTATGCAAGCAAAACAGACAATTATCTTTTCTTGTAAAACGTGACCACAAGATCGCGAATTCGAAAGCGAAAGCATCTGAAGCCCGGCTTATAACACAGCAAAAGAGGAACTCCCGTTCACAAAATTCAAATCACAATAATACTACTGAAGAAAAAGAACGGTTGAATGTTAAACACTTTCGTTTCCATATAACTATAAACTATGATAAAAGTTCATCAGCATGCATTGATTAATCCCATGTTGTAGTTAGACTTGTGCCGGTATTCGGTAATGCGATATATCACTATTGTTATTGTGGGCACTTCTAAATACCGTGAATAATTATATATTACAAATTATTTTGCGAACGACTCGTCCATGCATGTTTCAGTTTTAAAAATGAGTTTTTACCTGCTAATTTTTAATTTAAATGTCGTAACTTGATGGCAAAATGACAGACTTCTCTTGGGTCACTACTTAATCTACTTAAACCCATCCCTTTCTTACAATTGACTGCATGTTTATGTTCACATCTGTCTCCATTCAATCAACAACCGATGGGTAGGACCAGGTTCCTGCTGTACATTTTTTTTACTGTTTCAATATTCATTTTAACTTGAATGTCCGTCACAACATGGAAGGAAAAAGGCTACTTCTGTTTCATTGTGACTTTAAACCTTTTAAGCTGAAATTGTGATACTTGCGGGGCTCTTCAATAAGGACCTCTGATGGCCCTGGGTCAGTGTAAAAGACTCTGTCCAGTTTCTAGCATGTTGTAAGAACACTATGAGAAAAGATTGTGTATATGTTTTTGCGTGTTTCACTTCAACTATGATAATAATTCCTTCCTGATTTCAGGAGCATCGGCTGCACCGTGGTGGAGATGTTGACTCAGCGGCCACCCTGGGCGGAGTACGAAGCAATGGCAGCCATTTTTAAAATCGCCACACAGCCCACCAACCCCACTCTGCCGCCTCACGTGTCGGACCACTGCCGCGATTTCCTTAAACGGATTTTTGTGGAGACTAAACAGCGTCCAGCTGCTGAGGACCTATTACGGCACACTTTCGTCCACTAGCCACTCCCCCTTCCATCTCTGACCAATCAGAGACTTCCAAAAGTGTCTGTAGGACCATCCATTTTTCAGACTCATCCCAGCAGACCTACGAGCCCCTACTCGGATCAGAGCGCATAGTGAAAAGGGCAGTGGCCTAATCTCACACCTCTGCTGGAGTAGGAGGGTGATTTGGAGCAGCTTGATTCCATATGAAAACATTGCACCTTAATTTCACTCAGGGGTAAGTACCCCTAAAGACTAAACGGATATCGGTACCCCAAAAAAACTTGAGAATGTTGTCTTTTAAGGCTTTCTTTTATTCATTTTTAATGTTTTGATATCCCCCATGATTGTGGAGAGCCTTTGCTCTGGGGAGTCCGGTTGGGTTCTGGATGCACTGGGTTAATGCAGGAAGATCTTGGAATGTCAACCCCAGAGCAAGGCAGGTACACCAATATGCTGCTAAAGGGTAAAAGGAAAAAATGAAACGGAACAGAATAGATGACAGGATGCATGGGACTCTCCAGCCTGGCAGTCATGGCTTCTAAAAGTTCTCATTTTCTTGCACAGTCCTCCTAGAACACACACACACACACACACACACACACACAAGTACATGAACTCTGATGGAAGATCTTACTGTAGAATATTTACTCACTATGCTGTACAAACATTTGTGTTTGCTGAACTCTCTCACCTTCTGATTGCAACCACATACCGGAGTGTATTCGCTTTTTCCAGCTCTAGAATTCGTCAGGATCTTGTACCTGTTTCTGCTTTGTTTCTGTTTTTACTATGTGCCTTTTTGACGTCACCTTCCTCTTTTTTTTGTATTCTGCTCTGTCTTAAGTGTCCGGTCATTTTTCTAGAATTTTATAGGTTTAATGCACAGCTACTCACAAGTCTTTCTGACTTTGTCTATACAGGAATTATTTAGGACAGTTCGGCTCTTCATACTGTTTCTAGATCAGCATAAACAGCCTCTGCCTTTCCCCCTTTGGTCCCTCTGCTGGCAAACTGATCTCGGGTCAGGTTCACCTGTGCATTCTCTTAACACAGTGCCGTACACTTCAATCTGATCAGGTAGGCAGGCTGAACACACTCACTCACCAAAGCAAAGAAAAAAAAACCCAGACCACACAGGCAGGGTTTAGTGCCTGGACATTTACAGTAAGAATCGCTCTGGTTCCATTATAAATCTCAAGAGCATAGAGAGTTAAGGTCCTTGCACACTGAGTCCGAAATTTTCATATGCGTTTTTTCGTATTCGTCATCCTTTCCTATCAAAATACTTGCTACGGATGCGAAAACGCAGAAAATCGAACCTGATCCAAATTTTTTTTTTTTAATGACGGACGAATGTTTCGGAGGCAGTATGGAAACGTGATTGACACAACGTGAGGTCGTAGTTATTTTTTAACGTGCGAAAATTTCGGACGAGAATTTCGGACTTTTCGGAGAATTTTTTAGAGTTGAATAGAGAAACGGATTGCTCTCAATATGAAAGTTGACACTGTAAGTGCATTTCTAGTGACGACTACACAACCTGGATCCGTTCTGCTGATATTTTCCATACCAGACGTCTGATGTTCCAATTCATCAGAAGTCATCTTCACTCTAATGTATTTCTATTAGAATATGCAGAATTTCACAAATCCTAACAATACTCAGCACTTGACAGTACTAACGGTTTGCCTATAAATTAACCTCACTATCCCACGATGCCTTGGGACAGGACGTTTCACCCGTTCACACTCTTTGTCAAGCACTTGGTTACACACTTTCTGCTAGTGAACGCTTCTGAATATTTTAGTGAGCGGTCACATTGCTGTTCAAGACTCATTCAAAGATCTCTCCTCCACATAGTGCTATAGTGCCTGCCTTCAGACGTAGGTGATAACGTACCTTTTGGGGTTACCCTCGCTCCCTCCTTAATCCATTAGGTTTGTTTTCTTCATTCCTTGTGTCACAATCTGCCGTTCTTAATTAGAAAGCTATTTATTCTTCCCCTCCTAATTATGAGAGTATGGTATTAGTGAGTTAGCATATGCTTATGTTAATTTAATAATCATAGAATGGAAACACAATTAAAATTTAAGCAGCGATTTCCTATTGCATACTTATAGTGACCTGAGAATAAGAATAAGCTTCATACTTGTGGTCCGTTCACACAGGACACGCTCTTGCGTTCTCTCTCTGTGAATTGTTCATTTGTTTTACACATGTGGGTCAATGACAGTATGCCATAATCATAATATTTTTTTTTTTTAAAGGAGCATTTGGAGCATAATATCAGATTTGTCAGGGTAATAACTGTCCTGATATCATAACGAAGAAAAAAAGCTTCAATAAAAGCATTTTTTAAAAAAGAAAGAAAACCCTAAGCAATGTGACTGAAGATGAATATAAAAACAATTATTTTTAATTATTTATTATTAGTCTTTTATTATTTTATTTGAAAACTTTACCAATACTTCTTTTTAACTTTTGAACTGTTGTTTGCTAAATCAAATTCTGGCTAAAACTATCAAGCTGATAGTCGCAAGAAAAAAACTTAAATCAGGAAATGATGCTCGTATACAGGGCCCCTGCAAACCCATTTCTTAAAATATTAGAAAATGTATGACAGTACCTATTTTTATGACTGGTTAGTTTAGGTTGTAAAATATCATGTAGTGTTAGTACCCCAAAAAACGTATTTAATTTAATTTAATTAATAAAAATGTAATGTAATAAAAAATATAATCTTTTTTACTTAAAATGTATTTATTTTTTTTAAATAATGATTAAAATGTACACTCAATTGTATTCAAGTAAAGTTATTAAACACCAACTCATATGAAACCAACATGAGAACAAAACATACTTTTTTTTTAAAGAATCATGAATGCTACTATGTATCATTGACCCATGTGTCCGTGGCTCATTGTTCATTTTAAAACAATGAACACATCTATAATCATTCTTTTCAAATGTGATCAGTCTAGCTCTGTCAGTGCAAGAACTCGTTCTGTGTGAACGCTGTAACTGTAGCAGCGTAAACTACCCCGGGCCGATAGATTGTGATTAAAATGAGAGAAACTAGCTGTCAGTTTGCTGTCAGTAAGAGTAACTATAGCAATGAGACTGCATGTGGTACTCGTTTTTCAGATGGTATGATTACACTCCAAGCAAACGTTTACAGTTTTCTGTTGGTGACTAAGAAAGTCTACCTCCATTGTGTAGAGTTACTTCGGAATGATTTCATGCGGCTGTTCCGGATCATGATATCTGGGAGTGTTGGACATGGAAGACCCGCTCACACAATAGACCTACTGTATTAGCAGTTCTCTATCCGAGGCCCCCTTCAGTCATTTAAACATGGGCAGGCCCACTTTGTTTGCTCTTACCCCTTGCAGCTGTTTTTTAAACTCTTTTCTTGTATAATGGCATGTGATTTGGGCCCGCCATGGCAACCCTGGGTTGCTGTGGCAGTATTTGAAGGAATTTCTCCGCACCCGGTATAATGAGCAAAATTCCTGGTCTGTAGAGTTTTAAAGTGCCAGTTCGTAGAACTAAAGCCACATTTATTTTCATTTAAGCATTACTCTAATACTACACGAAAAGTAGGCAGTGTATGTTTGTAATGTATGTACTGTTAAAATGTTCTTTTTGATGCTGAAATGTTTGCACATTTTGAGACCATGATTTTTACACTGATTTTAATACTTTTGCCAGTGTTCGTCACATCATTCTGTGTGTTTGTAAGCGACGTGCGATCTGAATGCTTGTTTTCTGTTCAAGCGGATATGAGATAAAACGGTTACCCTGGTTACCAGCCTTGTTAGTTAGGTTGGTCACATGGTCACTCACTGATGTAAAGTCTGCTCTCGTCTGTGGTCAATTCATTGCCACTGTTATGTCGCAACTCGTTCCTCAAACGAACACACTTGCGAAATTAACAGACAAATGATGTCTGGTTTTATGTCAATTCAGAGTTAGAAAATGAGAGCCGAATGTCTAAATGCTGACTGGTGCCAAAGAAACTGACTTGGACCAACATGACTGGTATCCTGGCCGGAGTTTGTTGTAAAGCAAATTGAGAATCTTCCTACTGGAATGTAATGTCAGATTTTTTTCACCACTAGGTGGCATCATTCAACTATTTGCCTGTATATAAATTGTTGGATTTTTCTTCTTCGAAATATCTCTCCAGTTTAACAATAGAGTTCCATCGCTGCAGAATGCATTGTTTATTTATGAAAGTAATTACAGGAAGTTTTCCATTAACTCAAACAGGCTGGATTCGTCAGCGAAACACGCCACTTCTGCCACTCCAGGGTCATGAATGCACTTTGTATTTGTTCGTGTGAGTGTTATATATCGTCTGAGTGTGTTTTGACTGTCTGTGTTTCAAAGAGACTTCTTTTCTGTGTGCCGGTTGAGTGAGATTATTGCCAGCGCATTTAATGCCTTGCGCCTTGTACAACTGATGACAGAAAAGTAATTAAAAAAAAGACAAAAACAAAAGAAGTTTAGAACTTTGAAATGAAATGTACGTTTTTTTTTTTAGACAGTACACTTATCTGGTACAGAACTTCTATCTGTTGTTTGTCCTCTTTGTCTATTGTATGAGAAAAGCCATGTTTATAATTCAATTTGGTTTGTGACCAATAAGCCTGTTTATATCAAATCTGTATATCAGTGGTACGCATATTTTTTTTATATATATATTTTTATTTTCTGTTTTTTTAACTCAAAATTCGAAGCATGATTGGCATCATAAAGGCCCACCGGGGCTCTGTGGTCTGCTGATGGCAGGACTGATCGGCCTATTTGCAGGATGACATCATGAGATTGTCTATGACGGCTGGCACTTTGTAAAGTGTTGCTAATGATGATGAAAATAAATAATAAAAGATATTTATTTCACATTTCATGGTGCTATATTGATTGCTTGAAATGTAGTACATCTTAGAGTCATGTACTTTTATGTTTTAATATTTTTACAGCTAGAAATTCTAAAAATATATATATTTTTTACCTTGTAGCCATATAGCATGCAAAAGTTTGTGGTCTGTAAGTTGTTATTTTTTTTATTTATGAAAGATGTTCCTGATACCCGCCCAGGTGGCATTTATTTGATCAATATTGTAAAATATAATTATAATTTAAAATAACAATTTTCTCTATTTATAATTCAATTTGGTTTGTGACCAATAAGCCTGTTTATATCAAATCTGTATATCAGTGGTACGCATATTTTTTTTATATATATATTTTTATTTTCTGTTTTTTTAACTCAAAATTCGAAGCATGATTGGCATCATAAAGGCCCACCGGGGCTCTGTGGTCTGCTGATGGCAGGACTGATCGGCCTACTTGCAGGATGACATCATGAGATTGTCTATGACGGCTGGCACTCTGTAAAGTGTTGCTAATGATGATGAAAATAAATAAAAGATATTTATTTCACATTTCATGGTGCTATATTGATTGCTTGAAATGTAGTACATCTTAGAGTCATGTACTTTTATGTTTTAATATTTTTACAGCTAGAAATTCTAAAAATATATATATTTTTTACCTTGTAGGTAG